TACGTGATAGTTCTTATAATATTTCCTATGGTGATGAAATGAAACTTGTTTATAAAATTCAATTGAAATAAATAATTTTGTTATGACAAAAAGATAGAACTTGATTGATATGGTATGGTGCGGAACCAGACAGTTGATCCCGTTTTAAACCATAATTAGATGAGTTAACATAGTTACGAACTTATTTCCCAGGCTTTATTTTTATGTATTGCCGAACGATAAGAATGAGAACACGGACTTACTTGCTAGGAACACTCGTCAAAAAAATTCAATTCTTTCTAATATTAACATTTCGGTTTCTCATTGGTTCTATGATACTGTTGTATTTGGATAGTCAATGTACGAAGTATGATCGTGACAAAAAAAGGACAAAGTTTCCTTCGTATAAGTATTCCCATAGTACACTTCCATGTTCTTCAACGATTTTAGCCATAAACAAGCATTGAGCTTTATCAAAACTTAAGAAAAGAAAAACCATTGGTCTACCAGTCGGAACTAAACATCCAATGAACAGTGGTTTATAAAGTAATACTGCAATCATCCATAAACGACTGAAAATAAGCAAGAGACGAGAGATATTTTCTTGTAGATAGTAATTAGTCTCCATTAAAATATATTTAACCACTAGAATAACGATTTTAGCTATAGATTCAACCGGTTTAAGTTTCCTTGGTAGTGGTGTTACCATAGTAAACTTCGATCTTCTTGAGCCCGAGAATAACGCCCACCTCATGAGTCTTGATCTCCTTGGTGGGTGGTTTGAGGATTTTAAGTTTTGCAATCAATCCGAGAATCTCTTTCGTTTTTGCGCATTAAGCATCTCCTACTGGGCATTTCGGTGCAACGTATTCCGTGAGATCGACCCCTAAGGCCACCAAACGGCTGGTCACTTCTTCGTAACTTGGAGTCAGACATGTTCTCTGTAAAAAAGAGAAGAAAAGGTAATTTTTTTCTTTCTTTGTTCGCGGTTTTATACACATTACTTCACTATCAGATTGATAGAACGGCCTATAGTGGATCTTAAATCTCACTGTCCATTAGCCTTTCTCTCCTAGTTTTTATTTTCTCTTTAAGTCTTTATATTTTTACATTTTTATGTGATTAGTCCTTATAATATTTCTTAAAGAAACTTGTTCACAAAGTCTAAGAAATAGACCCATTTACCAAAAAAAATTGGATACATAAAACCCTTGCAAAAAACAAAGAAAAATTGCATGCTATAACCAAAAAAAAAATTTAATATAAATCATAACCATTTAACATAAATCTGAAAGTTGATATTTGGCCACACAAACTAATTTCGTTACTTTTTAGTTATTAATTTTTTTTTGGATTATTCTTACAAATGACCCTA